GAAAATCAAAATCACTTTAGACAAATTGGTACAGACTTGCGAAGTTTCCGCACCCCGGAGCGCTTTCCGCCAGCCGACAATGGCCGAGCGAGGTGCAGCGTTGTCACGCCTTCGTGGGCATGGCTGGACAACTTTACAAATTTGAAGTCACAAGCAAGGTAAAAAGGACCTTGTGTACATGTAACGCAATGGTTATCATGGTCATCTTGCAGAAGAAGCCAACTTTGCACTGAAAAAGCATGGAACCAAACAGATAGATTAGGTAAGTGCGCCCCCCTCCCCCATCGACAATTATTATTCAAGTTTCTAACAGTTAGGTTAACTACTATTTCCGTATCCCACAGTGAAATCATAACCCTTGAGCAACACTTACCAGTAAAATAGTTAACGTAGAATGTAAATATGCGTGGCGTAGCGAAGTTACTTCCAGGCGTACAGAACCGTCGGCTGTATGCCTAGCCGGCTGGGTGACCTGACCTCCCGGACCCATCACGCACCGCGCTGTCATACATATGCAGCTCTTTGCGGGGCGTTACATCTTGGCACAGTTAAACTGTAACCACAGTTTCTCTCAGGATGTGGGGAGGGTACATCAGCACAGTTTATACTAATTTACGCTAAACATAGTTTTCTATTAACTACGCCATGTGTATCGGTGCTAAATAGTAAAACATGATTTCTGGGACAACCGTTACAGTCATTTTGAGCCATCAATGAGGTATGTTTGACTCTCTATGCTTGTACGTTTAAACGAGGTTTGCAGACATGTCATGTCGACCAAAAGTGTGCATTGTGTTATTTATACTCACGTCAAGAATCATTACAGTATTTAAAGTTACCCACGGATAAGTCACAGTAGCTTCCGCTACATGGTACATTGTCCACAAAAAATGCACACACGTAGCACACATGTACGGTCCGGGAAACGGTTTGTATCTGTAGAAAAGTGTTGTTTTTTATCTGTTGCGAAGCACGGAGATGGAATGGCTTGTTTTGCCGGTTTATTGTAAATGACCGCAGGTGACCCCCAAATAGAACGCGGGTTTGATTCGAATTACCCAGATGTGTGTGTGTATCTGTCTGTCTGTCTGTAAACACGATAACTCAAGATTGCTTAAATGGATTGTCTTAATACTAAGTAGGTAGGTAGTTCTTGATAAGTCCTCAAAATGATTGGCTTTTGGGGTCTCCTGGCTGGTTGTTGTGCTACTGGAATTTCCGGTCTTTATATCCCATTAACTGGACGTGCTTGGGTCAAAAAATTGAATGGTAGTTAGGTCTTGTGTTTAACGTTTGGAAAGAAGTGGCGTAGGATTGGGCCGCCTAGTGGCTTGCTCAGGAATGGCAGGGTCGTTTTTTTTAAATATTCAAAACAGTTTAACTCAAGAACCGGTTAACGAATCATCGTGATTTTGGTATGTAGGTAACTTATTAATAATTAACGCTTGATATAATTTTGCGGCAATTATTTAAATCAGCTGCATTACATTATAGGACTATTCAAGCTTGTGACATATGTAATTGAGAACGAGAGAAACACGACCAGATACTGATTATGTAAATTAACACTTAGTTTACGAAATTAATGAGGAAATGTGATGATTCTATAATGGTAACTACCTGTAATTTCATACTTCGGTACTTGAATGTTAAGTAAAGGTAAACATCATGTAACATAACTTATTCAAATAAGGTCCATTTGCATAATTCATGAGGAAATAAGAAAATGGCTTTCTTTGTTTAGATAACGCCGTCTTTTGGTGGAGAAAAGGATCAACTGATATAATAAATGCAAATAAGGATCCTAGTTGCATAATCAGGAGGAATAATCTTTAAAGATTAACATCATTTGGCGAAGGTATAAGATCGTTGAACTCTAGTCTTTCTGTCTGTCTGCATATGAACAGCATAACTCAAAAGGAACTTTGGGCGTTGTTATGAAACTTGATATGTTGGTAGGTCTTGATGAGGCCTAGAAATGATAATCATTAGACTCTGGGCCCCCTTGTGGCTATTCTAGGTACTGCAGTAGTACTTCCGGTTTAAATTTCCCATGATTTTGACAAGCTAGCGTCATGGATTTTAGTTGGTTGATAGCTCGTGGGCTAGGAAAGAAGTGACATGAGCTTGATCCCCCCTAGCGGCTTGTTCTAGAACTGGTGAAGCGTTTGTTAAGAACTATTTTAAGGAGGATAAGTAAAAAACCCGTTGATGGGTTTTTGTGATTTTTTGTATATTGGTAGCTAAAGTGATGCTTGTCATAATTATATAAAAATTATGCAAATCAGGAGTTAATTTGCATAAAAATAATTGAACTATATAAATCTGCTTCGTTCGATTAAGGACTATGGAACACTTCTGACATGTGGTTTAGAATGAGTAAAACATCCGAGGTTATCGAATATGTAACTGATGACCTGATTTGCATAATAAATGTTGCAACGGTTTAATGGTAGTAACTGCTTTCAATTTCATACTTGCCACATCTGAATGTGAACTGAAGGTGAACATCACTTAACATAATGTATTCAAGTCATGTTTTCATTTGCATAATTTATGTGGAAGTGCTAGAGTGACCTTTTACAAAAAAGGAGGCATATCTCGTCTCTTCCGCCCGCTGTGATAGTTTTTCACTTCCAAAAAACGTTGGGAGGCAAAACCGACCTCATGCTGGCCATTTTTATATTTCCCGCGCTGAGGTTTTAGAAGTAGGTGTGCCACTTCTAGGAATGAATTGTGGTGACTAGAAATTATCTGAAAACATTAACTTCGTTATCTTTTTTGTCTGTGTTTTTATCAATCTTTCAGAGGAGCTTTCAGAGGAAATAACCAAAAATAAGGCCAATATAGTTTTGGAATATTTTGTATCCCACCACAATTATAGAGTCATAGCTTGTAGGTATAAGCAAAATAAAACGTATTCTGTTTGAGACTAAACATTACAGCCGGCAGTAAAACAAAGCAAACCTCCGGGTGTACCTCCCTGCGACTGAACAAGGGCTGCTTTTCTACAGTCAGGTATGATCATTATATCATTTTTTTTCTTAATAGTTCTATGTCATGGGGTATTTATTGTGTTCCTGTGACAAGAACAGCCTTCATCAACCCTCAAAGAGGCTGGCGTTTTAAGGTGGCTGATTTCTGATAGGTAGTGGATAGCTTATCTAACAAACATTGAGTAGAAAACAGCATTGAGTAGAAAACAGATGAATGCTCGAACCTTTACTCTGCTGTACATGAAGGAAGAAGACGATGTCACTCTGCTCTCTTCTAGTTCATCAAACTCGTCATTGAAGAGGAAAGAACTGACGACTAGTGTATAATAGCAACAAAACATAAATATTCATACGCCTCTCACGTTTTATTGATTTGCTTCTTTTTGAGCCCACACCCTCTATATGTCAATTGGTGAAAAACGTTTGCGCGACATCAATTTATTTATTTTTTTTTAGTTTTTAACGCTTTTATTTAATAAATGGAATGCCGCAGCAACCTTGCCTTTGGCGTGGTGCCTGTCTTGCGAGAGTCAACACAGGTGGTTGCAGGGGGGTTCGCACAAAGGAGAAATGCATGGCCTTAAAGAAGAAATGCATGGCCTTACAATAACATGTTGTTTTCAGCAGTCCAGGTATCAAGGTTGTTGAGGTCAGACTGGAGTGATGTTTGTGTAGTGATTCGCCTGATCTCTTCTAGGTTGTAATCGTCAACATACTTCCAGTACGACTTCTCGGCCACTGGTCTATCGTCATGTATGGGTCTGAGAAATAAGAGTGGTTCCTGAAGATACCACTGAACTATGAAATTTTAGGAACACAATTGTGTACGTACAATTTACCAATTTCATCATGAAATGCTTTCAGCTTTGTATTGTTACCTGTACTAAATTCTTCTCGATTTGCATATACCACGACAGCAAAAACAAACAGAGTAGAGATATAAATCTGGTTACACGTCGACACAACCCAAAAGCCGCTCATAGGGGAATGGTTAAATATATTTTTATCTTCAAAAAATCAACAAAGATTCAGGTCTAATTATGTATTTCTAGGTTTCCTACGGTATGTTTCTTTTCTTATAATTTGCAGAAAGTTATACATTTTTTTAAGTATAAGGCTATAGTCTGCAGCATTATTGCAGTGTTACATATTTCAATAAAAAGACAGTATTATTCCATATGCAGAATCCATGTAAGTGGATCTTTGGGACCCCCGGGGATCAAAGTGATTAATCGGCTGCCGGGACCTCCGGTATTCACCGCGGCCTCAAAAAAAAAGAAGGCTTCACACCCGGCTCGCACTCGGCCAGCGGGCGCAACTAGCCGGATCTCAATCTTCAGTGTCCACGGGGGGACTTCGCACTCGGCTCGCACCCGGCCAGCGGGCGCACCTCGCCGGACCTCAATCTTTAGTCCCCACGGGGGGGGGGGGGCTGTCTTATCGTCCAGACCCCGGCCACCGCGCGCCTTTCCCCAGCCTGACAGATTTCCAGCGCTGGCACGTCACGGTTCATCGCTCGGGCCTCCCCAACTATCGAGGTTCCCGCATTCCAGTCCCCAGTAACCTGAACGTAGCCGCCTGGCGTCACTTCCTCGCAGGCTAGGCTATCAGGACGAGACTTTCTGTGACTTGATAGAATTTGGGTTCCCAGTGAACTACACCGCAGCCAAGCAACCAGCGGTCCCGCCCACCAATCACGCGTCAGCTCTTCGTTATAGTGCCCACGTCATTGATTATATCACCAAGGAGCTGGGTCATGGAGCCACTATTGGCCCTCTTCCCGCGGATTTCTTCGACCCGGCATTGGTCTGCAACCCCATACAAACCGTGCCGAAGAGGGACTCCCACTGTCGCCGGATCGTTGTAAACTTTAGCTTTCCCGACGGCTCTTCGGTCAATGCAGGTATTCCCACGGACACTTACCTCGGTAAACGCCTGTCCTTGCGCCATCCTTCCGTGGATGGCTTGACGGCCTTAGTTGTTAGTCTCGGACCGGGATGCCTAATGTACAAGCGTGACCTGCGCAGGGCGTACCGCCAAATCTACGTTGACCCTGCCGACTATCACCTTCTCGGTTTTCAGTGGAAGGGACATCGCTACGCCGACATCGTCTACCCCTTCGGAATACGTACCGGGGCCCTGGTCTGTCAGCGGGTGACAGATGCTGTGCGTTTTATCTACGGCACCTTCGGCTATGCCTGCGTGAACTATCTAGATGATTTGGGCGGCGCAGACACCCCGGACCGCGCACCTGCTGCCTTCGACAGTCTCGGCCACCTGTTCATTCTGCTGGGCTTACAAGAAGCCGCCGACAAGGCCGTTCCCCCAACCACACGTTTAGTCTTTCTCGGCAGAATCATTGACTCTGTACGCATGACGATCGAGGTCACCCCGAAACGCCTAACGGCCACGTTGGAGGAATTACAGCTGTGGAACTCCAAAGTTCCCACCCGCCGCCGTGACGTCGAGTCTCTCCTCGGCAAATTACAGTTTATCGCGTCATGCGTCCGCCCGGGCAGGTTGTTCGTTTCGCGCATGCTCCTCTTTCTGAAGCAGTTTCCGGACAGACACGCGAGACTACGGATCAACGACGACTTGGCCTGGTGGCGCACCTTCCTCCCGACGTACAACGGGGTTTCTCTCCTCCCCCAATCTGGCTGGACAGAGGCGGACGCCGTCTTTAGTTCAGACGCCTACTTAACAGGCTGCGGGGGTTTCATCAACTCCCCGGGAGAATACTTCCACACCACTTTTCCCCCATCGGTCCTGGAGTTGAACCCTTGCATCAATGGACTCGAACTCCTCACCATCTTGGTGTGCGCTCGTTTGTGGGGCAAGTACTGGTCCGGGCTACGCATCGTGGTGTTGTGTGATAACGAAGCTTCCGTGACGGTCCTCAACTCCGGGCGTAGCCATTCCCCCTTCCTCCAGTCATGTCTCCGCAACCTGTGGCTCTGCGCTGCCACCGGTCAGTTCGAGATACGAGCCATTCATCTCCCAGGCGTTCACAACCGACTGGCCGATCATCTCAGCAGGTGGCATTCTTCCCCGTCGCATCGTG